GTCTGTTCCACGGCTCAACCACTCTTACAGTCAGGAAGTTTCTCCTGATATTTAGCCGGTAACGACTCCCTTGTAATTTCAACCCATTAGATCTAGTCTTGCCTTCCAGAGCAAGGGAGAATAGATCTGTTCCATCTTCTACATAACAGCCCTTCAGATATTTGAAGACTGCAATCGTGTCCCCTCTAAGCCTTCTCTTTCCCAGGCTAAACAGACCCAACTCTTTCAGCTTTTCCTCGTAAGACTTGGACTCCAACCCTCCCACCGTCCCGGTTGCTTTCAATGCCTCACTTCAGTTCCAACAATGAATTATCACTCTAATTGCTATTTGTCCTAAATGCCAAGAAAAGTATTGGTATCAAAGTCAACAGAGCCCAATCAGAGCCCTAAATTAAGGGCGGGAAGGGACCGGCTGGATCTTAGGAAAAACCTTTTGACAGTCAGAGTTGTACAACGGTGGAATCGGCTGCCTGGGGAGGTGGTGAGCTCCCCCTCCCTCGCAGTCTTTAAGCACCAGCTGGACAAACACTTGTCAGCAGTGTTCCCTCTAAGCTGAGTTAGTGTGAGCCAGCTCACAGCTTTTTAGCCTCCAGCTCACACATTTTTGTCTTCGCTCAGGAAGGAGGGCTCCAGAACTAATTTATGCAGCAGCCAAATCGCTCACCGCTCACTGTAATGCCAGTAGCTCACCAAGGAGAATTTTTGCTCACAAGACTCCAGGGCTTAGAGGGAGCATTGCTTGTGAGGGATGCTGTAGGCTGATCCTGCCCTGAGCAGGGGGCTGGACTAGATGGCCTTTAGGGACCCATCCGACTCTGTGATTCTAGGATTCTATGATTCTAGGTAAGCCACTGTTGATCCCACATTGCAGATTGGAAAACTGAGGCAGAGTGGGTGACTTGCCCAGCGTTTTGTTGGGGAGCGGGGTGGGGCAGGGCCAGGGCAGTTTTTGGGCAGGAAAGCACAGGAACAAAGTTCCGGCTGGCTCCCAAGTTGGCCACGCCCAGCAGGAACTCATTAGCATAATAGGCCACACCCAACAGCAGGAACTCATTAGGATTGGCTACATTAGGGGTGTGTGGCCTAACATGCAAAGGGGTTCTTGCTACAAAAAGAAGCCCTGGGTTTTGACAATAAACAAGGTGAACAGAATAAGAGGCAAAAGGTTGGTGTGGCTGGATGACCTGGTAACATGGGGGTGTGGCATAATATGTTAATGAGCTGTGTTGCCAGGGGTGTGGTGTAATATGCTAATGAGTTCCTGCTGTTGGGTGTGGCCTATTATGCTAACGAGTTCCTGCTGGGCTTTTTCTACCAAAAAAGCCCTGGGCAGGGCGAACGCTGATCTTGATTCAGACTTAACCTTGTCCAACACCGGCTGCCGGTCAAAAATCAGTTTGTCTATTCTTGAAAGGGGGAGGGTGGGTCATACTGGAGGGGGGCACCTTCTGGGATACCACACGCCCCCTGGCAACTAAGGCCCCTTTCGCCTTCCTGCCCCCCTTCTCTCTGTCCAGGTTTCCCATGTTTTCAAGCACTACGGCCCGGGAGCACGCTTCGTCCACTTCCTGCACAAGACCAAGGATGCGGAGACCCCGTCCGGCTTCCTCCGGACCAGGGCAACGGACAGCAGTGTCTCCGTGCAGCTGCGGGACTGAGACGGCGGCGGGGGTCTGAAGATTTGGGAGGGTAGGGTCTGGGGAGGTCGGGGTTTAGGTAGGGGAGGTGCTAGAGCCTCTGCTTGGCAGGCAGAAGGTCCCCGGTTCAATCCCCGGCACCTCCAGTTAAAAAAGGGACCAGGCAGGAGGTGATGGGAAAGACCTCCGCCTGAGACCCTGGAGGGGCCGTGGCTCAGTGGCAGAGCCTCTGCTTGGCAGGCAGAAGGTCCCAGGTTCAGTCCCCGGCATCCCCAGTTAAAAAGGACCAGGCAGAGGGGCTGTGGCTCAGTGGGTAGAGCCTATGCCTGGCATGCAGAAGGTCCCAGGTTCAATCCCCGGCATCTCCAGGTAAAAAGGACCAGGCAGGAGGGGATGGGAAAGCCCTCCGCCTGAGACCCTGGAGGGGCATGAAGTGGGGCTGTACCTCAGTGGCAGAGTGTCTGCTTGGCATGCGGGAGGTCCCAGGTTCAATCCCCGGCATCTCCAGTTAAAAAGGATCAAGCAGGAGGTGATGGGAAAGACCTCCGCCTGAGACCCTGGAGAGCTGTCAAGAGGGGCTGTGACTCAGTGGCAGAGCATCTTGCTTGGCATGCAGAAGGTCCCAGATTCAATTCCCGGCATCTCCAGCTAAACAGGACCAGGCAGGAGGTGATGGGAAAGACCTCAGCCTGAGACCCTGGAGAGCAGCTGCCGGTCGTGATGGACCGAGGCTCCATCTGATTCAGTACCCACCCGGCAGCCTCATGTATAATGCCAGAGAGTCCACCCTCCAAAGCAGCCTTTTTCTTCAAGGGAACTGACCTCTGAGGGCTAGGGATCAGTTATAATTCTGGGAAGATCTCCAGGTCCCACCTGGAGGCTGGCAAACCTACACTGTGTGCACAAGACCCTCCAGAGCTGGAACCCCGTTGATCCAAGGTGATTAAAAGTACGCGTTGAGGAGACAAAGAGAATCTCTCGCATTTCTCACCATTGTTTGTGGATCTCTCTTTCTCCACCCTCTTTCTTTGTACACAGGCGAAGGCTCTCTGCCCAAGCTCAGATGCACTCTTGTTTTTAATATTATGTCATCTGTTCCCAGCAGGTCAGATATCTGATCCTGTAAACAGCCTAAGGTTCGGCAAATCCTTTCTCAAAGCCTCCCTGGGGATCAGACGCCCCCCCGCTAGCAAGGGGTGGGCCCCCGATGCGAATCTTGCCACTTTGCAAGTCTCACCCCGCCCTCCCCCTTACTGTACCAGAATGCCAAGAGCATTTCCAATGTGAGAATCTTGGAATGGGGGAATTTCAGTGTTTAATATTCTCAGGGAGGGGACGGGGGATGGGGGTCGCCTGCCTCAACCTGGCCAACTTTGCTGGCACAGTTGCACCCTTGAAGCTGTCCGTGTGGGAGAGGTATGAGGCCCGTAGCTACAATGGGGCTTTTGGGCACAGCCTACAAGAACTTCTCCTGTAAATTCTTTTTTCAGTCATTTTGAAACATTTTTTTTAAAGGTGTGCGCTCCTTTAAGCAGAGTGGGGTGCCGTAGTTGACTCATTCCCGCCATGAGCAAGGGGGTTGGAGTGGGTGACCTTTAGGACCCCTTCTAACTCTGTGTCAAGAAACTGGTCTCCTTGAAGAGGGAGTTTTTCTGCCTCCTCAGTGTTGGCTTTCTTGACTCTAGAAGTCATCATCCCCCACCTGCCGGCTTGTTCTCAGAACTGTTGCTTCGGCTGGCAGAAGTGATTAACTTGCAGCCGCTGAGAACTGTCCCCTAAAGGGGTCGACAGCTTGCAGTTTAGAGATCTATCCTGCTCACAGCTTTTGATTGGCTACATGGCTCTTCTTTCTGCACAGAGAACTTCAGCCCCGCCAGGAAAAGATTTGCCCCACAAGCCACACATTCCTGGCTAGGGACCTGAAAACGTACTCTGCTGGAAAGCAGGTACACCCCTTTATTTGATTTCTTGGCTTCCCAAGGTCCGATCCAGCAGGGGCTGGGCATTCAGTGTAGATTCTGGCTACCCCATTCCTCCCCCCACCAATGATCCCTCTAAGCCAGTGATGGCGAACCTTTTAAAGACCGAGTGCCCAAACTGCGACCCAAAACCCACTTATTTATCGCAAAGTGCCAACACGGCAATTGAACCTGAATACTGAGGTTTTACTTTAGAAAAAACAACACCTACATTAACTTAAGATGATCCAAACAAAGTAAGGAAAGCAATCCGGAATGCTTTCATTGACTTAAAATTATTTGGCAGAGAATTCGACACTTTAATGATGGTCTGGGCCTGGCTGGGGCGATGGCACGCATGCCCACAGAGAGGGCTCTGAGTGCCACCTCTGGCACCCGTGCCAGAGGTTCGCCACCACTGATCTAAGCTGTGGAGTCTTGTGAGCAAACATTCCACTTTGTGCGCTACTGGCATTGAAGTTGTGAGCAAGCGATTTGGCTACTACATACATTCGTTTGCTCTGGAGCCCTCCTTCCTGAGCTAAAGCAAAAATATGTGTGAGCCGGAGGTTAAAAAGCTGTGAGCTAGCTCACATTAACTCAGCTTAGAGGGAACACTGCCCCCCACCCAGTTCCAGCCCTCCCCGTGGACGGCCCCGACCCGCTCAGGTAGGGAGCAAACTGAAAAACCCGTTTTCTTGGTGGGAAGGACTACATTCAGCTCCCGAGTCTCTACGAGCCTTTCCCAATTAATTTCTAACAGAAGGGAAAAAAGAAGAGCGCGCTGTTCCTTTGCTGACCTTGAGCTACCCAACAATCAACGCCTGGACACTGTAGAGCTGTGTTCCTTCGCTTTTAATTATGTTTATCGAGGAAAAACATGGGATGAAAGAGAGGGGAGGGAGGGAGCGAGCGAGCACACGGGAGGAGAGGATGGCTTTGAAGACGGAGCACCGGTCTGGAAATTGCTGAGCACGGAAACGAAACACACGTCTGCGCTCTCGAGGCATCACGGAGCGGCGCCCGGAGCCGGACTTCCCGGCAAGTGGACCGGATCTTCAGGGTTGCTGGGAATTCCCTTCTTGCCCCTGGCGAGGGGTCAAGATCCACCCCGTGGGCCCTGGTCTCCCCCCCGGCCCTTGGGGAGAAGGCGTCGCCGCCACGAGCCGAATCGGGCCACCCTGCACGTTTCGTTTTCGCAACGAGATGTTCCGGTGGAGCACGGCGTGTTGGCTGCTGTGAGCCTGAAGGATTCTGGGGAAAGGGGTCTCCCAGAAGCCTCAGCAACGAAAGAGTGGTTTGGGGGGCCAGGACATCCTTCACCAAGACAGGAGGGGAGGGTCACAATGGCGGGGGTTAGAGGAGCACGGGGGGACCCTTCTGGCCGCTTCTCGACTGGGGCGCCTCACGAACACTTGCAGTAGAAGGCCGAGATGGCATTGTCCCAGTTTCCCATAAGCCCCTTTCGATACTCTTGGAGCCGGGGGAAGGCCCCGGTCTTAAACTTCCTGGTCTTGCCAGCTTTGCCCTTCTTGTCCCAGACGGACAGCTCGCAACGGGGGGCCACCACCAAGGAGGAGACCTTGTCATTGAATGCCTTTGGGACGTAGGGCTGATCTTCGTCCGGCTGCACCAGCAGGACGCTCCCCCCACAGCACTGGTCGTAGTAGGGGCTGTTGTCCGTGTAGAGCTGGGCGCAGATCTTGGTGCCATTGGGGTTCTTCAGCTCGGCCGGGAGCGGGCACTGGGCCCAGGCCAGGGCGCAGAGCAGCGGGAGGAGGAGGAGGCTCTGAGAGGCCTTCATCGTGAGACGCGCCGCAGGGGGAAAGCTTTGGGCAGCTTTGGGGAAGGGGCTCATTTATAGACTTGCGGCCAGGCATGTCCCGAGGCCATCTGCTGTACCTGGGCAGGTGTCCAAGGCCTGGGAGAAGAGATAAAGGTGGGAACGCCACAACTGAAGGCGGCCTGTGCGGCTGCAGAATATTCCCAAGGAAGGTGGGAGGGAGGGCCGTGTTTACGGAGGGAGTGAAATGGGCGCACAGTCCAGCCGGAACATGGGCCAGCCCGAGAAGGGTCCGTGTAGTCCAGCATCCTTTCCTACAAACACTGGATGACCGCCCCCCCACAAGTGATATCCAGAGGAAGGGGGAAGGGCTGCGGTAGGACACCTGCTTGGCATGCAGACGAGGTCCCAGGCAATGCTCCCTCTAAGCTGTGGAGTCTCGTGAGCAAAAGATCGACTTTTTGTGAGCCACTGGCATTAAAGGTTGTGAGCGAGCGATTGGGCTGCTGCATAAATCCGTTTGCTTTGGAGCCCCGTCCTTCCTGAGCGAAGATAAAAATCTGTGAGCTGGAGGCTAAGAGATGGTGAACTGGCTCACACTAACTCGGCTTAGAGGGAACACCAGGTTCAGTCCCCAGCGTCTCCAGTTAAAAAGGGCCAGGCAGGAGGTGATATGAAAGATCTCTGTGGCTCAGTGGCAGAGCCTCTGCTTGGCATGCAGGAGGTTCCAGGTTCAATCCCCAACATCTCCAGTTGAAAGGACTGGGCAGTCGTGAAAGATCTCAGCCGGAGACTGTGGAGAGCCACTGCCAATTGGAGTAGGCAATACTGACCTTGATGGAACGTTGGTTTGGTTCAGTATAAGGCAGCTCCATCTATTCATCTCCTGTTTGGGGAGGAGCCATGGCTCAGTGGAAGAATCTCTGCTTGGCATGCAGAAGGTCCCCGGTTCAATCCCCGGCATCTCCAGTTAGAAAGGACCAGGCAGGAGGTGATGGGAAAGACCTTCGCCTGAGACCCTGGAGAGCTGTAAGGAGGGACCGTGGCTCAGTGGAAGAGCCTCTGCTTAGCATGCAGGCAGTCCCAGGTTCAATCCCCGGCATCTCCAGTTGAAAGGACCAGGCAGGAAGTGATGGGAAAGACCTTCGCCAGAGACCCTGGAGAGCTGTAAGGAGGGGCTCAGTGGTAGACCCTCTGCCTGGCATGCAGAAGGTCCCAGGTTCAATCCCCGGCATCTCCAGTTGAAAGGATCAGGCAGGAGGTGATGGGAAAGACCTCCGCCTGAGACCCTGGAGAGCCACTGCCAGTCTGTGTAGACGATACCGACCTTGATGGACCCAGGGTCTGATTCAGTAGAAGGCAGCTGCATGCGTGTTTATGTGGTATGCTGCCTCTGAATGTGGAGGTTCCACCATGGTGAACAGCCCTTTATGGAGACAGATCCAGGTGGGTGGCCGTGTTGGTCTGAAGCCTGAGGCCCCGGAGAGCCATGAAGTGGGGCTGTAGCTCAGTGGCAGAGCCTCTGCTTGGCATGCAGAAGGTCCCAGGTTCGATCCCCGGCATCTCCAGTTAAAAAGGACCAGGCAAGATCTAGGACCGAGGGGTCCTTAAACCTCCGCTGCAGCGACCGGCATCTTTGGGAGGGATCCTGAAGTCGGGCTTCCTCTCACGACACCGAGGGGAACAAGTGACCCCCACCACCACGCTCCAGGGCAGAATGAGAAAAGACACTGGGATGGCAGGGTGGGCCAACTGAGCACCCAGGGAGGTGGGGGGCTTTCTCAAGGTTCCACTTCCTGCCACCTGAAGTTCTCTCCCCATTGCGAGGTGGGGTACTGGTCTGTGGCTAAGCATCCCTGGCTCATCTGGGCCTCCCCTGCCCCTCCGTGCAGCTGCCTCAGTTTCCTTCCTTGTGACCAAGGCTCCCTCTAAGCTATGGAGTCCTGTGAACAAAAATTCTACTTGGTGAGCTGCTGGCACTAAAGTTGTGAGCGAGCGATTTGGCTAACTGCATAAATTAGTTTGCTCGGGAGCAATGCTCCCTCTAAGCTGTGGAGACTTGCGAGCAAGAATCCCACTTTGTGAGCCACTGGAACTAAAGTTCTGAGCGAACGATTTGGCTAACTGCATAAATTAGTTTGCTCGGGAGCAATGCTCCCTCTAAGCTGTGGAGTCTTGTGAGCAAAAATTCCACTTTGTGAGCCACTGGCACTAAAGTTGTGAGTGAGCGATTTGGCTACTGCATAAGTTAGTTTGCTCTGGAGCCCTCCTTCCTGAGCCAAGACAAAAATGTGTGAGCCGGAGGCTAAAAGACTGTGAGCTGGCTCACACTAGCTCAGCTTAGAGGGAACCCTGCAGTGGTGACCCAATTGGGGAAGCATCTCTCCAGTCCTGTACTGGGGGGGAGGAATTGTTCCCGTCCTCCAGCCTCATGGGTCTGTCCTCTTAATCTGTTCCATCTGGCACATTTCCACCATGGCCGTCCTTTTCGCCGGCACCTGCAGCCTTTCCCAAGGCCTGGCTGGTACAGGACAGGTGTGGATTTCCTGGAGGAGGTTGGGACAGGAGCCCTCCCCTTCCCCCCTCCTGGAAAACAGTCCACTCAAGGCCGTTCGGCTGAATCTTTCCAGCTCATGAAACTCGTAACGTCAGAAGCTCACTTAACTGTTGCTTGAGGTTAAAAAAAGGCAAATTCGGTCTTGGGTTGTCTTAAAAGGGCCACAGCATCGAAATCGCAGGAGGTCACGGCTCCTCTGTGTACTGCCTTGGTGAGGGCTCACCTGGAGTCCTGTGTGCCGTTGTGGAGGCCAGAACGAAGAGTGATTTCAGCAAGAGTACTTTATTTAGTGAAGAACAAGACAAAGGAAACCAGCTCGCAGGCCGGTTTATATGCGTTCAGAAAACCCGCCACCAAGCACACCTAAACACACCCCCTACTCCCGATAGGCTATTTACAGTAACCGGGCGACCATTGGTCTCCCGGCTGGGAAGCTGGCCTTTGATTGGGCCGGCTAGGATCCTTCAGATCCTTTGTCTTACGACTGAAGCTATGGAGAAATATTGCCTGGCCAGCCCGGGCAAGTCCGGGCATGTCAGGCTGAATGCATTACACGTGGTAATGGCGGCAGTACATTACAGTGCCGTTCTGGAGGCCTCACTTCAAAAAGGACATTGGCAAAACCGAGAGGATGTGGAAGAGAGCGATGAGGGTGATCAGGGGTCTGGAGACCGAGCCCTATGAGGAAAGGCTGAGGGCCTTGGGAACGTTTAGTTTGGAGAAGAGGAGACTGGGGGGGGACACGATTGCTCTCTTTAAATATTTGAAAGGCTGTCATTTGCAGGAGGTCATAGCCCTTCTGTGTAATGCCTTGGTCAGGCTGCACCTGGAGTCCTGTGTGCCGTTCTGGAGGCCTCACTTCAAAAAGGACGTGGGCAAAACCGAGAGGGTGTGGAAGAGAGCAACGAGGGTGATCCGGGGTCTGGAGACCGAGCCCTACGAGGAAAGGCTGAGGGCCCTGGGAATGTTTAGTTTGGAGAAAAGATTGAGGGGGGACGTGATGGCTCTCTTTAAATATTTGAAAGGCTGTCATTTGGAGGAGGGCAAGGAGCTATTCCAGTTGGTAGCAGAGGGCAGGACCAGCGTTCCCTTTAAGCTGAGTTAGTGTGAGCTAGCTCACAGTTTTTTAGCCTCCAGCTCACAGATTTTTGTCTCATCTCAGGAAGGAGGGCTCCAGAGCAAACTAATTTCTGCAGTAGCCAAATCACATTGGGCAGGACCCGAAGCAACGGGTTTAAGTCACATGCAGAAAGGTATCGGCTGGATTTTAGGAAAAACCTTTTCCACGATCAGAGTGGTTCAGAGGTGGAATCAGCTGCCTGGGGAGGTGGTGAGCTCCCCTTCACCGACAGCTTTCCAGAAGAGGCTGGACGAATATTTGTCAGGGATGCTTTAGGCTGGTCCTGCATTGGGCAGGGGGTTGGACTAGATGGTCTCTGTATGGCCCCTTCCAACTCCGTGATCCCATGAAAGAACCAGAGCAGCTAGACATAGGTGTTGCCAATTTCAAGCCACCCCCAAGCCTCCCTGAGCTAGCAGCTCTGCTTGTGGCAAAGGCAAATTCTTTGGGGGTGCTCAGCCCCCTCCCCCTCCTGCTCTGACCCCCCCCAAACCCACAAAAGGAACGCAAGACGCCCTGCAGGTCTCCTCCTTTGCCGACAGCCTTCAAACCTCTCCATCGGCTGCCGACCTCTTTCGGAACCCCACTCAAAGCTCTTTCCCCCTCAGTTTGGTGTGGTGGCTAAGAACAGGGACTCTAATCTGGGAGGAACGGGTTTGATTCCACGCTCCTCCACATGCAGCTGCTGGTGTGACCTTGGGTCAGTCACAAGTTCTCCCAGCGCTGTTCTCTCAAGGGTAGTCCTCGAGAGAGCTCTCTCAGCCTCACTTCCCTCACAGGGTGTCTGTTGTGCGGAGGGGAAGGGAAAGGAGTTTGTAAGCCGCTCTGAGACTCCGCGTGAAGGGCAGGGTATAAATCCAATCTCTTCTTCCTCCTCTTCTTCTTCCTCCTCCTCCTCCTCCTCACCCCAGGGAATTGATGGGGCAGTCGATTCAGAACAGAAGCAAGGAAGTCCTTATTTAAACCCTGCATCTTTAACTTGCGTAACTCACCGGCACTGCATGAGCGGCAGGCCAGTGACTTAGAGCGCTTTCAGACTGGATTCAGTCAGTTCACAGAGGAAAGATTTTATTAGCGATGCCGTGTGGAACCTCCATGTTCAGAGGCAGTATAGCTCTGGATGCCAGTCATTGGGTGGACAGTAACAGAAGGCGGCTTTGGCCTCTGTAGCCTGCATGTGGGCCCGGGGTCCTCTTATTCATTTTTATTTATTATTTTATTTGTTTACCCCCTCCCCCCCCCAGTCGGGGCTCGGGGTGGTTGACACCAATTTACAAATGCACACTAATAAACGAATTATAAATACATTCTAATAATAAATACTGTGATAATACCAAGCAGGCT